GAATGTGACCTACATTTCCTGGTCCAGCAATGGTTAAAGCATCCTCATCAATGTTAAGTGTTAAGCTGTGTGTTGTGTGTTGTATCTCAAAAAGTCCTGAGCAAAAAAAAACAACAAGAAACCGCCAGTTGCGATATAGCCGGATCGCTACAGTACAATTTTCATGTAAAGCATCACGTGTGATAAGCATCCCGATACATAGGCCATGCAAGTTTAGATGATGTAGGACAAGTAGTTACTTAGTAACTGACATTAACCAATCTTCTTAACCTAGTCAGTCAAGCGGAAAATGTAGGTCATAAGCAGCATCCGAAGCATTGCATTTGATAAGCATCCTTAGATACATAAGCCATGCAAGTTTAATTGATGTAAGACAAGTAGTTACTTGGTAAGTGATTGACCTAAACCAATCATCTTAACCTGGTCACTTAAGCAGAAAATGTAGGTCAGAAGCAGCATCTGAAGCAATTTAAAAGTTGCATGTGATAAGCATCCTTCGATAATAGATACATAAGCCATGCAAGTTTAGTTGATGTAGGACAAGTAGTTACTCGGTAAGTGACCTAAACCAATCTTCTTAACCATAGTGCAGATGGGGCCTGACCTCAACCAATCTTCTTAACTTGGTCAGTCAAGGGGAAAATGTAGGTCAGAAACAGCATCCAAAGTATCGCATGTGATTATCATTCTTAGATACATAAGCCATGCAAGTTTATTTGATGTTGGATAATTAATAACTTGGAAAACCGAGCTTAACTATTCTTCTTATCAATCTTCTAATGCAGACAGACGGCCAGACAGACGGCCAGACAGATTGATGGACGGGAATCGCCAATCTATAAGCCCTTTTGATTGCATTGTGATCCGGCCAGAAATTTACTTACACCAATTCTGCCATGAGTTTCCACATCAATGTTTTTATGTTTACTTCTCCGTTTTTGTGTTGAATCTCAAAATGTTTAATCATACACTTGCTAAACTTGTACCAAAGATACATCCTGGTCAGTGCATGAATTCAAACATTAGTCCTGGTTTGTACAGTCCATCAACTTTGTTGGTTACCTAATCAATCTAAAATATTTGTGTTAAGCCCTTGTTCTACAAAAGTATGAATGCAGGACCAGCTAAACTAATAACTAATTCATGAGTATTCAATCTGATTACTTGCTTCGGATGCTGAAATGACATTTGTTTCTTGGTCCAGTTATTTTTCAGCATCAACATCTGTCTTAAGGTAATAGGATTGTGTCACCATTTCTCAGTAGAAGTTCTTCAAATTTTGTAGTTATATCTGTGTTTGAAGTATAGAAAATTTTCTGCCTCAAAAAAAATATAGGTTGTCAGAATTTTAAGGATTTTGAATAGAAATTTATGTAAAAAGGAGTGAGTTTTGAAAAAAAAATGAAAGACAATCTTTTGCAAAATATTGTCAATAAAAATAACACTGCCATAGATTAGTATTGCATTAATGTATATCAATTTAATAAATGCTGAAATTGTGTAAAATAAATGATCTATAAACGATTGAAAATTGTCACTTTATTATAAAACAATATACACATAGTAATTGCATGGAAGAGTTATCTTTCTTGAAAAACCTCACAGTACTGAAATAGGTAGCCTGTTTCATGAAGTATAGAAAAATGGACACCAGCTGTGACTCATTGATAAAAAACAGTTGAATTAATGCATGGATTGCTTTGAAATACTTTGAGAACACACTATTCTGTCAATAATAAACATACAATATTCATCAGTTTAATATTAAACAGAATATGTGGAAATTGTGATATGTACGGTCTCCCTACATTGGATTTTAAACTAGGGATGTACTTCCTATTTCCGTTTATCAATACACTATGTTGAATAGAGCAAATGCTACACAAACAAGGTGACAAATACTTCTCAATGCCTGCTTCAGATTCCTTAATATCACCAAAGACTTTTCATTATTATAAATCTTAAAAGTTTGAGAATAAGGTTCATTTAATATTTTTTAAATTTAAATTCCAATTTGATTTATAAAAAAAGTTTTAAAACAAGTTAATATCGTAACTCAAAATTTGAATGGTGATTGAAGATTTAAATTCAAAAAGTTTAAATGACATGTTGAGTGTTTTGAACAGACTGTATGACCTAGACCAACTTTGCCATAACTGCTTCTTGCACTCTGGATCCTAATCTGTTTGTTCCAGCATTCACAAATACCAAATAAAACCTGTGTATAGAGACATAGTGTAATTAAACCAATTTGTTGGTTTCCTCAGGGTGTCCAATAAGGCAGGTTTCACTGTAGAGGCATATTTCACCACTTTTTTTTTTTAGATAAATATTGTAATCAAGAAATGATATATATTGGTCGATAAATCTTGCATATTTTTTATATCTCATTCTGTACTTCACATCTGATTTTGTCACCATACTCGATGGCTAGGATATTGATTTTCCGTACGCATTGTGGAGTTACTTCCCTTTGATGAGGGTGTTTATTTCCATACTCATTGGTAGAATTGAAAAGAGAAATATTACAGGTATATTGTAAAAATGAAGATTACTTCCCTTGAATGAACAATTGAAGATTACTTCCCTTTGCAAACTATGTTGTTTTCTTTTCAGTTCTACTAATGAACAATATTTTCTGTAGATCCTCTTTGATTTCAGATAGAAACTGTAAACATACTTATTTAAGAAGTAATAAATTACTTTATGTACATATGCAATAGCACATATATTAATTAATGTAATTCTGATTACATATTATATATTACATAATTTATAATTTATTATTGTTTCTAGTTTGAAGTATGTTTACAGTTGCTTCCTTGCTGTTAAAAGTTTTATATCACAACAAAGACAAATAAATAAGGTTTCTCAGATTTATTAAGGAGCATATTAGGTGGCTTATAACACACACTTAATTTAAAAGGAATTAATGTTCAGAATGCATAATTGTTTTTCTGTTTCAATACATTTTCTTGATTGATTATATATATGAACAGTTCAGAGTTTAATGACAATTAAGTAATTAAATTTATTGAAACAGAAAAACAATTATGCATTTCTGAACATTAATTAACATGAAGGTTAAGAAAAACTCAAAAACATAATGGAACAATTCTTTTTCAAGGAGATGGGGGCAAGGTATATCAATTAAAGCAAATATTTCATTCTTTGTTTAAAGTATTGATTGTCTGCATTGAAACTTATAAATTACATTAACCTGTGTAGACAGACCTTTAACTTGGTCTACTAGCTGTTACATTTATCTACCTTGGTTTGTGTTTTACCTCCTATTAACAGCTATGGTCATTTATAGATGGGAAATGTTTGGTGGTGGAGAAAATGATGTTTCTTAATGAGGTCATTACATGATTAATATAACCCATGTAAGATAAAGCTGGAGAAAAAATAACAAAAAAAGTATTTTACCATTTTAAAAAGTTTTAAGAATTGGTGTTATTTAATTGAAATATCTCATTTGGCATGTTTGTGTCCGAATTGAGGCCAACAATAAAATTTTGTATTTTACATCCTATTGACAGCTATGGTCATTTATGGATGGGCAATGTTTGGTGGTGGAGAAAACCGGAGTACCGGTAAAAAAAAACACCGAGCAGTATCTGATGTTTCTTACTGAGGTCATTGCATGATTAATATGACCTTTGTAAGATAAAGCTGGAGAAAAAATAACAAAAAAATCCATAAAGAAGGAGAGTAAAAATATCTGAACTTTCACAATAATAATTTCCAAGATCAAACCTTTGTTACATTGATATGATATATATCATACAGACCTGGAAGTGTTTTGACATTTTAAAAGTTTCCAAGAATTAGAGTTATTTAATTGAAATATCTACATTAGGGATGTTTGTGTCCGAATTGAGGCCAACAATGAAATGTTGTGTTTTACATCCTATTGACAGCTATGGTCATTTATGGATTTTGGTGGTGGAGAAAACCAATCTAATTAAAANTGATGTAATGATTTCGGAACACACTTGCTATGGTAAAAGACCGAGAGGTGTCAAATGAGCATCGAAAATGGCGGCGCCCATGACACCACGCCGTGTCTATCTACAAGACAACGTTTGTACAATTTGTGGATTTTGCTTTGAAATAAGAGAGACTTCCTCTTCTGGTGATGTTATCGTTAAAAAGTTTAACAACCTGAAACTAAAACTAAACAATGACAGGCTTCGCAATATTACTGGACCAGACGAAAAAGTAGATTTTGGGCTACGAGGTGTCTGCATTGAATGCTACAGGTCCTGCTTTCTGATTGGTTGAAAGAAAGAGTTATGTCGCGTTTTGATTGGCTTGTTATAAATACGATAATGCATTCACGGTGACCTCTGACGTGACCCTCTATGGGATGTTGTTAGATCTTCAACGCGACATATCAGTAAACGGGAGCGATGCGCAGATATAATTTTAATTAGATTGGGAGAAAACAGGTGTCCCCGGTGAAAAACCACCGAGCAGTATCTGATGTTTCTTATTGAGGTCATTGCATGATAAATATGACCTTTGCAATCTTGATAAAGCTGGAGAAAAAAATATTAACATAAAGTAGCAGAGTAAAAAAACAAATCTCGCTGATCACAATAATAATTTCCAAACCATTGATATGATATATTGATAATGGAAGTATTTTACCATTTCAGTTCTGCCTATAAAGTGGCATACACATATATATATAGGGTCTTAATGAGTTTTCATTTCATACGAGATTTTATGAAACAAGTCTTAGGAGTTTTTATTTTTGCGAGCCTTGGCGAGCAAAAATTAAAACTTAGAGATGAGTTTCATAAAAGCTCATATGAAATGAAAACAAATTTAAGATACTTTTTATCACATAACTAAGAAAACTTACATTTTGACAGGTTTTAAAGCCAAAATGTAGAGGGCTTAATCAAACGGACACAGCCATTTTGTTGCACAATTCACAATTTATGACGTCACGTCATTGTCCATATTATGACGTCAAAATTGATCTCTGACTGGCACAGCCAATGAAAAAACACTCCAGGGTATATTATGTGATAAACAAAACTATCAAATATAAAAGATACACATTTTTTCTCTGATTAGACAATTGTTGTAATACAGGATTCATATAATTTACTGACTTGCTGAAAGAAGTAGTTTCAATCTTTAAATTAAATTAACTATTTGTTTCATTTATCAGGTAAATGGATTTTAAAAATAGATATTGACATGTTGGAAAAGTTTAACAGCATTTATTAGCATTTTCTACAGATACGTTTTATGAGAGTAAAAAATAACTTCCTAGTTATTACTGTTCGGGAATGTTTTGAAATTGCAATAAACTTTCAGGTATTGTTCTTTCCAAAAAATAACCTAAAGTTTACTTTAATCCCTAGGCCTGTTGATTGGGTGTCATCTAAAAAAATTATATAGCCCTTCATCAAATGACTAACAACATTTCGATTAAATCATAATAAAAAATAAAACATATTTTTTCTAACTTTAGGGTTAAATGTCTTTAGTTCAGTGAACAGCTCCATATACCAATTGAAACATTCCTTCGTCCCAGGTTACAGGTTCAAATTTACAGATATTTTTCAGCAGCCTGCTTGTGCACGAGTGAAGATTTTGTAGACACCGGGAAAACAGGATACAGTCATGTTCTGTAAAGTAAAATAAGAATGACTGTAGAAATCAGTGTTAAATATAAGCAGAGGAAAAGGTCTTTTTTTCATTCCATTATAATGAACCAAAATCCATAATTTTTAAGTGATTACACTACTTAAAGGTAAAACTCTTTACTATCTCATTCAAGTTTATTTAGAAACTTATGAATCAGTGAAAAATTGACATACTGTGTTCTTGCAAGGGATTTGTATTGTTTGCAATGCCTTGTTGAAACAAGATTCTAAAAACCTTACCAAAACACTAGACTTGCAATATCCAATCCGATTTGGAGGAAATTCGTTCCTGAACTTTAACGGTATGTAGCTCAGTTTGAAGGGCGACAGGTTTTAGATCAATCAGGCCTATGGCATGTTTTTCCATCCAGTCAAATGATGTACATTCCACCCACAGTGTTGCATCCAACTAGCTCCTGTCTGAAAAATATCCAATGCCAAATATGATTTAAAAAAATTAAACGCTACTTTGAAACATATTTTTGTGGTACAAGTATATTGCTATTAGCAAGCGTTTCCTTTAACTTTAACCAGGAGGAATATCAGAATAACTAAAAGTTAGCAGATTTTTACTCGGTGACATAAGATAAGATTGTTAAAATGCTTTGAGCCGATAAACAAAACCTACAACACTCGTGATTAGAGAGCTTAGGACTGTGATAGTGATGCAATATCAATAATACCTGTTTTGTAAGGAATTGTTGCTGTCAACACTGGAACTAGACTCTGGTATGAGATTCTTTCTGTAGTAATTGAGAGTTCTATTCCTTTATCCGTCATGAATGGTTGCCATAGCCTCTGTGGTCTTTCTTGGATCGATGTCCTTAGATCTATCATTACTTGTAGTCCGAATTCTCTGTAGTCGTGGCCTGGGTTGTGGTTCCCTCTGTTTCTTGTTTCATTATTTCAGATCCGTTATGGGTTGTCATAAGTTGTGGTCCTTCATGCCGTTGTCTGTTGCTGGTGGTTGCACCATACTATGTGCTCTATCACTCTGGGTCCTTTGTTCCGGTTCCTCTAAGGTTTTGGTTCCATCTTCTGAAGTCTCGTTTCAAAGGCCGTTTTCCATTATTTCCGTGTTATCTGTTGTGTTGTTTGTTATTTCAGCGATGGCATTTGTAGAGTTTGGTTCCATCTTCTGGTCTGTATTTTGTGCTTGTTCCATACTATTTGGTCTGTCCTGCGTCGTCATATGCTTTAGTCTGTCTTAAATGTGGTTCCATCTAGTGATTGCTTTCCTTGCTTTCTGTCATCGTTGTTGCTTCCATCTTTTAAGGGCCTTTTAGTATTGCTGTCTCCTCCTCTGGTCTGATGCTAGCGGTTATACCATACTTTGGTCTGTAATTAGTGATCCTGTGCTCTGGTCTGTTTTGTTCATTATTTCAGCTGTGATTTGTCAGATTTTGATTCCATATTCTGGCCTGTCATTGGTGGTTGTTCCATACTCTTTGGTCTGTCATTGGTGGCTGTTCCATCCTATCCGGTCTGTCATTGGTGATTGTTCCGTATTCTTTGATCTGTCATTGGTGTTTGTTCAATACTATCTGGTCTGTCGTTGGTGGTTGTTCCATACTCTTTGGTTGGTCTTCGATGGTTGTTCATTACTCTTTGGTCGGTCATTGGAGGTTGTTCCATACTCTTTGGTCTGTCATTGGTGGTTGTTCCATACAGCCATTGAGATATGTAGGCAGCAACTCCTCTGCATA